GAAATAGTTTTCCTCTCCTTCTTGTGGCTGTTCAGCTGGATTTTCTTATAGTAGAAGTTCAGCAAGGTCGAGATCACCACAGCTTATCCACCCAGGACCCACATAAAATATGTGCAGACTTCAGTTTCTTGTAAGCAGTGCTGCAATTGTTTCCAAAGAGTGCTCTAGGTTTAATGAGGAAAGGCAGTATGAAAATTAATGCATCATGAAGTGTATAAAGCCAACCAAGGTTGCCGCAGAGGGAGAGACATCTGTTTTCCAACGTGTCAGCATTTTGGAAGAGGATGGGCTTGCACTTGTTCTTTTTTGAGAAGTGGGGTTCTTTAAGCATACTGGAGGTTTAATATATTTTATTTTACTGCCAAATATAGTAAAAACACACAACTAAAAAGCTTATACGTTCTGATTTTCACTTAATGTTAATGTAATCTTTCTTTAAAAAATGTTCTGGGAACAGTTGCCCCAACCTAGAACTTTGAATTGGAAGACTCAAGGGTTTTCTCAGTATGCAGACATAGTTAATATGTAGACATACATAATCTAACCCCTCCCCTATAATTAGTTTAAGGTAACTTGTTAATGCTATACAGAAATTTTTGTATGGTCTTACACAAACATAAGAAATTGCCCTATGACAGGCATGGTAATTTATTGATGCAGAATCTGGCACTAAGTTTTTGGTTAGTTTAGATATTTACCCTGCCCTTATTACTTCATAAGTAACTCAAACAGCAAATACACATACAGGTGAAACTCAAAAAATTAGAATATCATGCAGAAGTTCATTTATTTCAGTAATGTAACTTAAAAGGTGAAACTAATATATGAGATAGACTCATTACATGCAAAGCAAAATAGTTCAAGCCATGATTTGTCATAATTGTGATGATTGTGGCTTACAGCTCATGAAAACCCCAAATCCACAATCTCAGAAAATTAGAATATTACATGCAATCAATAAAACAAGGATTATACATATATTGGACCACTGAAAAATATAAGCATGCATATGTACTCAGTACTTGGTTTCGGCCCCTTTTGCAGCAATTACTGCCTTAATGCGGCATGGCATGGAAGCTATCAGCCTGTGGCACTGCTGAGGTGTTATGGAAGACCAGGATGCTTCAATAGCAGCCTTCAGCTCTTCTGCATTGTTCGGTCTCATGTCTCTCATCTTTCTCATGGCAATGCCCCATAGATTCTCTATGGGGTTCAGTCAGGCGAGTTTGCTGGCTAATCAAGCACAGTAATCCCACGGTCATTGAACCAGGTTTTGGTGCTTTTGGCAGTGTGGGCAGGTGCCACGACTTGCTGGAAAATGAAGTCAGCATCCCCATAAAGCTCGTCTGCGGAAGGAAGCATGAAGTGCTCCAAAACCTCCTGGTAGACGGCTGCATTGACCCTGGACTTAATAAAGCACAGTGGACCAACACCAGCAGATGACATGGCTCCCCAAACCAACAGACTGTGGAAACTTCACACTGGACTTCAAGCATCTTGCAGTGTGTGCCTCTCCATTCTTCCTCCAGATTCTGGGTCTTTGGTTTCCAAATGGGATGCAAAAGAGGACTTTGGACCACTGAGCAACAGACCAGTTCTGATTTTCTTTAGCCCAGGTAAGACGCTTCTGACGTTGCTTGTTGTTCAGGAGCGGCTTGACAAGAGGAATATGACATTTGAAGCCCATGTCCAGGATCCGTCTGTGTGTGGTGGCTCTTGATGCACTGACTCCAGCCTCAGACCACTCCTTGTGAAAGTCTCCAACACTTTTGAATGGCCTTTTCCTGACAATCCTCTCCAGGCTGCGGTCATCCCTGCTGCTTGTGCACCTTTTTCTTCCACACTTTTCCCTTCCACATAACTTTCTATTAATGTGCTTTGATACAGCACTTTGGGAACATCCAACTTCTTTTGCAATTACCTTTTGAGGCTTTCCCTCCTTATGGAGGGTGTCAATGATGGTTTTCTGCACAACTGTCAGGTCAGCAGCCTTTCCCATGATTGTGCTTCCTACTGAACCAGACTGAGAGAGCATTTAAAGGCTCAGGAATCCTTTGCAGGTGTTCTGGCTTAATTAGCTGATTAGAGTGGGACACATTGAGCCTAGAATATTGAACCTTTTCACAATATTCTAATTTTCTGAGATTGTGGATTTGGGGTTTTCATGAGCTGTAAGCCATAATCATCTCACTTATGACACATCACAGCTTGAATTATCTTGCTTTGCCTGTAATGAGTCTATCTCATATATTAGTTTCACCTTTTAAGTTGCATTACTGAAATAAATGAACTTTTGCACAATATTCTAATTTTTCGAGTTTCACCTGTAATACTTCCTCCCATTTGAACTATGTGCAAAGCATGTTTATTTCTGAATTATCAGCTCTATTAATGTGGTAAATGACTTTATATTCTTTCTTACAATACATTCTCAACACTTTCACATAATTCTGTATATTATACATTGTGATAAATGCTGAATCGGTTCTTCTGCCACACTATTTGAATTTCTTATGTATTTAACCATTTTGGTATACTCTTTTGAAAAAACAGCACTAAACCTTAATGTCACCTTCATTACTTTAGTTTTTCACCAGTAGGATCCACCACATGAAAGGTTTTTATTAATGCTAGGAATGCATTTTTGTAGGTTCTGGTTCATCAATTAATACACACCTGAATTGAATTCTATTCAATCATTTTAATCCAGGACAATTCCTTAAATTATCTCCAACTTTCTATTTGCCAAGGGATCGGTGATTCTCACATGTTAAATTCTACAATTCTACATTGTTCATGCAGATATTCAAATTGATAAACCTATCCATCCTATCTATCCAAAGGAGGACACTGACCACAACCTAGGTTGGCAGTCAATACAACTACTTTTTTCCTCTTCCAAACTTTCTTTAAGGACATCAGTGTTAACAAGCACACATCATACTATTTTTGGACTTAAACTATTTATTTTAAACTTCATTTTTAATTCTTAAGACTACTAAAAAGATATGCATATAGAAATAGTCAGAAACCAATAGGTCTAGTAATAACAAGTGCACATCAAAAAATAATCATTAAAAAGTTCAAGGCAATTGTCTTGAGGGCAGTGCAAGTTTTGGGGGATTTATTTATTAGGACTTGTAACAAGAGGGTTTAGTACACAACAACAGTTAATTCCAAATACATTTTTTTAAAATTAAAAATTTATGTCTCCTCCCTCATCCCACCCCCCAAATGGTTTAATGGTACATACAATAAATCAAAACCAGCAAGGCTTTCTTCCCTAAAATCTCACATTGTTCTCATCCTACTGGGATACTTAAAGAGCTCAGAGCCCATAGCCACTACTAGTAAAGTGGCTAATTTTAAATCAAATGCCTATTTTTATGATAGCAAATGAAGTTGGCCACAATATCTGAAAAACAGCACCCAATGTTTATGAAATTTCAGCCAGAACTCTTAATAGACTCCAATTGAAACCATTCTTTGCTATTTCTCATGTAATATATGAAGACCATAATGGAGTCTATTAATAAGAGAGTGATAGTACTGCATAAAGGTTATACTTTTAGGCCCAGGCAGGACTGGTCATGACATTTTCTGCCTTGAATTGCTGCCTATTCTGCACTAGGGCAAAAAAGCACCATTCTTCTATCGCGTGGTTTTTAGCACTGCCATTGATCTGGTATACATACATTATTAGGTATAGACGACCTTACAAATTCTCTTCATAGATAAATCTAACATCTCCCTCTGAATTTCCAATGGAACTCATTGCCAAATTCAAATCTATCAGCACTTTTTTAAAAAAACTGCTCTTGGTTTTGAGCAACAATTTATATATTATTTTTAACTGCAGTATCCTGTCTAGCAAAAGTGATATATAATACTGTAAATGTTAAGACAGGTGTATAATTTCTAAAAAATCTATAATCATAGAGAATTTCTATGTTTTTCTAATTGGTGCATCAGCTCTTTCAGAATATGTATTGATACACAAAATCTGTCATCACATAGTGAATTTAATCCTATCTAGTTCAACCCTTCACTGATGAAATTTTTAAATACTGCTATAAAACAAAGGCTGTTCCAGCAACCCAAAACTGGAAGACATGCTATCATTATTAATTAAATTTAACACACTTCATTTCTTTTACATTTTAACTTCTGGAGCGGTGCAAAACCATCTAAGCTAGCTTATACTGATTTTTCCCTAGCAAAACATGCAAGTCCTGATCACCAGAAACACTTTTAAAGTCCTTTTCTTATGTGAAAAAGTTTTAACTTCTCACTTTTCATTTGACAAAGAAATTGGGGATAAATTACGAAAATAATAAAGCTAAAACCACAACACAATCTGCAAAGGTTAGGCCTCCCTCCCCTCCCTACAAAAGCCTATCTGTTAGAGATCACCAAAAGAGAGATCATTAATGAGATCATTTTTCTCATTAAATTAAAATTAACAAACTCACAAGCAACATCTCTATGCAATTCTTATAAAGCATGTAAAATTCAAGCAAAAGAACATGTAACAGACTCTGGATCATATACTTTGCCTCTTCCCCCTATACACTATGATGTCAGCTCTCAAATGAAGAAAAGTAATTTTCCATTTTTACTGGAGGGGAAAGCCCCTGAAAAGGATCATCCTTAGGCCTGAAGGCACCAACATATTATTTGCATGATAAACAAAAACACTTTTCCATAGGGGAAGATTTGACCCTTTAGCATCGACAGCAATATTTGAAAGCTCTGGGCCAAAGCTCAACTTCCCAATCTTTTGAAGGGCGATAGGATCAACCTTTTTTTCCCCAGAAAGGACAAGATCAAGAGTTTTAACCTGTGGAAATAACAGGAGATGCTCCTATTTTTACCCTCAATGCATCCATAATGCATACATTATCTCCCCAAATCATTTATATGTTGAGGATGGAAAGATAAGAATTAGAGTTGTCATGCTTCATTATTCATTCGCACCTTTAATTTGGGCAACGCCCATCTTAAATTAAACTACTTGGCTTATGACTTTGGAGAGCATGTCTCAGAGTGGTAGGGACTCAAATTGGATGTTAAGAAGCTACATGAAGCCAAAGGGATGCTAATTCGTACCATAGCAAAAAAATGTTGCTCTCTAAAAGAAACAGAAGAATGTTCATGAATATGTTCATGTGCCATAATTGCATGGTTGGAAAAATGAGCGCTAAGGGTATCAAAGCCATTTTATGGTGAAGGAAAAGCTTTAAAAAATGACACTGAGTTCTTTTTGATCTCCCCACTATATGTTTTTCCCCACAAGATACTGAAACAGAATGTGGAATGTTCAACATATTTAATAGCTTTACAGCAGGACTAGGGAAAGAGGATAGGTACAAGGGACAAATCCAGGCCCTTCCTCTTCACCCCTTTTTCTTAATTAAACAGTAGTGGGGGAAAAGGTAAGTTGGAAAAATAGTAAATGATATTTGAAAAACCACTCTCACAGTCTTGATATAACATGCAGTCTATGTAACAGTACATACACACAGTCTGATTACTTTGGGCCTTGTACATAGCATCATCCATAGGCATTCTACAGAATTCAAAACTGTACAAAATAAAAAATAAGCATAAAATCCAAGGATTATTTTCACAACATTAGTATTGCAGAATAAAAGCATTAAACCAGCAGGAGGCAAGGATTCTGTAAACACCCTCTGCAGCAGTTTGCAGGAAGATGATCTTGGCTCATGAGGGATACAGGAAGCAGTCATACAATCAGAGAGCTCCAAATTCGTATAAGGGAACTGTGGCCCTGCCCTCCATAGAGGCTGTAGAGTTTCTCCCCAAACAAGCAAATGAGTAGCATCTTATAAAAACCATGTGATACTAAAAGCACTTTTAAACAGGAAATACAAAAAGGCTATCAATAAACCCTCCCTTTCATAGCCAGGAAATAGTCAGGATTCATGTATGTTCTGCCACAGAATCATCATCCAACTTCTATTTGTTCTAGGAATAAAATTTGGTGGTTTAGGTCTTGCAAAGGGACAGAGTTAAGACTTCACATTACTGACTTTTCAACATCAGAGCTCCAGGCGTAACAGCAGTCTTTTCTACAATTTCCCAGAACAGCAGAGAAAGACACCACATGTGAAGGATTGTTAAGGCAATCTGTTTCTGAAAAAAGAAAATAAGACTATGGTGGTGGGCAAAGCACTCTGCAGAAGTTGATGAAACCATAAAAAGCATGGTACCAGACAATAACTGCATCAATAATGGCAAAAAAGCAGAATATGAAAAATTGGGAGGAAATTTGAATAAGCTGTGTTCTGTATATCCTCCAGCTTGTTGCTTTCCTAATCAGCTGTGGCTCAGGTTTTCCATTCTAAAGAAATTGTTTGCAACACAGTTCATAGACTGCAGGCACAACACCCAATATGTTTAAATGGGCAAATGTTAACTTTGCTTAGTTTTTCAGAACTGAGCCCAAGTAACTCCACAAAATTTGTCCAGAACAATCCCTGATCTCTTTTGTTCACCCTCTTGGCAGGCTCTGCAAAACTCAGGAGAAAGCAGGGCGCCACTGATGAATGATATTTGAAGCAGAATCCTACTCCAAAACTCCAAACAAGTACTACAGTTGCATTTTCAACTTCTCAGAGCAGAGTCTTATCTTACCTGGGTCCCCATGGAGCAGTGGCAGCCACTTAAAATAAGCATATTGATGGAGGCTGCATTCCCATCTTCATATAGTAAGTTGTGTCTCAAGACTGTATACTATTACACCACACATTAAGATATTACACAGTAAAAGCTATGTGCATACCCATCATGCTTGGTCCTTTGTAGAAATCTACCCTTTGTCCTAACAGATCAGGCTCTCATAACTCATACTCTCAATTGGAGATCTAGTGTTTATGCAAGAAGCTGGCTCCAGTATTCCATCATCTACAGATATATCCAGCTTTACCCATCCCTCTTAGACAAATCAAATCTGGATGCCTTCAAACAAGCCAGTCCTCAAGTGATCTTTATACTATAAGCACTGGCATCTGTTTGGGGGGGGGGGGGGTTGCGCCAGTAAAGGCAAACTGATGGTCCCAGAATGCAACTGAACTCCTCTGTACCTCTGCAATATTAACATCATTAAAAAGGAGAAGCAGCTTTTATCTTTTTTGGGGGGGGGGGTGCCAGTGACATCACAATGGGTCTCAAGCTTTGAAACAGTAATCTTTGAAGGAACCTGGATCTCATTAGCAGTCCTACTAATGGGAGCTACAACAATTGATGCAAAGTTAATGACTTTTTGTAGCACCTGAGTTTATTAATGGCACAAACAAGCAACATAGGAAGCTATACCAACATAATCTGTGTTACTCAGAAAATGTTTAGTAAATTCATGGCTAGCTTATGTGAGAAAGGAAGGCTGACCACTACAATCAGTATTCCAAGCACATGATTACTGAACAATATATTGAACAATATACCCAGAAAACCAACTAAGAGTAAGAAGTATGAAATGCTTGCAATGCCTTAAAAAGAAATATCTTATTCTTGTATATGGGAAAACTTTTATTATGTTAATCAGCAGCGAAGAATTGGACTGGGATTGTGGCATATAAACTTAACTTCTCACAATACACTACGGAGCTAATATAAAACCCTTCTGGTCCTTCTTATAATCCCCCCAATTCAGCTGCTATCAGCAGCTAAGCAAAAGCAAGTTTCATAAGAACTGTGGTCTACAGTATAGAAAAGAGTTCACACCTTCCCCCTCACTTCATGCCCGATTCTGATAGCTCCATGATTGCTGGATAACAAAAATAAACATACTGTGATATCCTCTAGCTTGTTGCTAAAGTGCCTACAGACATTATAGTAGATTTTCATTCCCATGTTGGAAAATCACCCATATATTTACTGGTGGGAGAAAAAGCAGCTTATACTTTTGCCAGTTTTAAATTAGCATTCAAAGAAAACCAACAGCCCTTGGAAATCTTTGGGCAATATTTGTCTGGTTTCACAATTCCCTTATGGTATGTATCAAAATCTGAAATAGAACAAATGGCCAGTCTCATAGTACACACTTATTCTGAGTTGGACAGGCTATAGTTAACTGAAGCAGGCTAATCAATTCAAAGCCTTTCTCTATAAAATACATGTCCCTTTCTAACTCCCAAATTATGAAACATGAGGTAATTTTAGAAGACTGCTGTCAGCCTTTGTAACAACAATCAGGGCTAAAGCCTGACTGAAAGCATTTTTGAACACTATCAAGAGGGCAGGTTTAACCATTTCATAAATATTTTGCATACTGAGGGCTGAATAGGGCTGCTATATAAGAAGGACAGAGGCCATTTCTAAAATGTCAAGCTTTATCATCCTTCATTATCTTTAGTCCAACATCTTAAAAATAACTGAATGATACAAAAGAGGCCCAGTTTATGACTTGGAAGTCTCAATATATTGGGAGATTATCTCTGTCTGTAAGAAGAAATGAAACAGCTCCTTACAAGCCTAGATCAAGCTATAAGTGTGAAACAATTGCAGAATTGCTGTATTAGAGATGCAAGGAACCAAGCTGGTGTGTAATCTCAGAATGTTTGCCACTACAATAACACATATTCAACAGTAATATGTGCAGAATAAGGAGGGGGAAAGAGATGGCAGACCAGCACTAACATCCAAGATGCCCCAATACCATGCCCCATGGTATTCCTGAGGGGAAAAAAAATCCCATATTTTGACTGAATGAGTCTCAATTTGAGTAATGGATCCCTTTACTGGCAAGTTCATTACATCTCTATATCTACATGTTGATCAGTCAGCTCATTAATATTGGTCATTCAGTTTGGTCGCTGCTGGCAAATGGAAGAGCCATTCTTCAAAATAATTCAAATCACCATTTTATAAAAAGGAAAGAGGAGTGGTTTTGTATAATGATCCTTCCTTCAGGTGCCCAGGTGCCCCCCAAGCTGCCTATGGGACCTGGGCAGCTCAACAATCTCTTGGTTCTGTCTCGCCATAATGGTCTTCATTCTGAGTAGTGCATGATGGACTCTACATAGTTTCCAGGGAAGAGTCCAGTTACTCCATTCATCACACCTTCATACCATCCATCATCATTTTTCTTAATGACGTAGATGATGGCACCTTCCTGAAAGGAAAGTTCATCTTCCTTGTCTTTAGTGTAATCATAAATTGCCACAACTAGGAACAAGAAGAAAAACAAAATTAACACTTCAAATAAGCAGTTGGACCCAAAGCAATTATAGCTTTCACTTAAGTGGTGTCTTGTATCAAAAAGTAGGCATTTTCTTTATTGTCTATTCATGCAAGAGTTCCTTCCCATTTACAGAAACAGTTGCTAATGCAAAATTGTAAAACATGTAGACACGTATACGTTTTGATTCTAAAATGATGGACTACTACATAAAAAATGAAATAACACAATGTTAATACATTGATTAATGATTAATCCCTCAAAACTGTCCACTGGGCAACAAGCTTTCTTTGCTAATAGAAGTGGGAGTTCAATCTTTTAACAGTGATTTTCCAGGGTATGTGGTGCAGGACTACTAACAATGCTTTGTTGGCTTAGTGAAATTCTATTTATTTCTCATATGCCTGAAAATGAAATGAAAAACACAAAAGTGATTTAGTGGAGAACTTTTTGAAAACCTCTTTGTCTTGTGGCCAAACATCAAAGTTTTAGTCCCACCTTAGGCACAATTTCAGTTGGGTAAACTTGGGCCGCTCACTCACTCTCAGCTCTTAAGAACAAGACAAGCACACCACTCCTGAAATCTTGCCAAGAAAACTAAACGGAGTTCTCCAGTCAGTAGCCAGGAGTCAACACTAAGTCAAAGCAACCCCCTCCTCAAAAAACAAGATAGTAGTCCTTGAACTACGACCATTCATTCAGCAACTGTTCAAAGTTATGACAGTGCTGAATGACAGTGGTATGACATCATCAATGTTCTGGATAAACCAACACCCACACAGTCGATCACATAACCAGTTGCCAAGTATCCTGTGATCATATGATTGCCATCTGCGATCTTCCCTGCTAGCTTTTCCAGAAAGTCAATAGGGAAGCCAGCAGAGAATGTTGTAAGTCACCCTAACCCTTCACCAGCCCCCTGCAATCATGCTGTGCCAACCACTTACACCTCCATTCATATCCTCTTGGATTTGCATGCCATGCATGCCCTCATGCAACCTTCTCACACCTCACTCTCATGCATCTGATTCACTCAAACTCTCAAGCAGCCCACTACACCCTTACTGACCTATGCAAAGCTTCTCATGCACTCTTCACACTTTCCCTTACCAGCACCTCTTGCAGGCCTGCTCCCTGAACCCCCATTTGGTCTCTGCTCTCACCCATCCCTAGCAGCAGCAGCTTACCTGCCTGCCAGCCTAGGATTTGCAACTTCCTTTCAGCTTCTTCACTAAGTTTGGTGTAAGAAACCAGTAAGAAGTTGCCTCACCTAACAACTGTGGATTTCCATTAACAATGGCAACCAAGATTGTACAGACTGCATCACTAAGAGATACAGTCATACTTTATTACTGCATTGCTTGATGATGGAAATTATGGTCCTAATTGATGTAAGTCAAAGACTGCACATGACAGACAGATAGAATGGAATACAATCATAGTTATTAGTACATGACATAGGGAAACATTTTTAAAAACTGAATGCAAATTAAGTTTCTGAATTACATTCATACCTGAATGTGGTTTGGTCTCTTGGGGAAAGAAGCCAGTAACATTTTGTTTAAAATAATTGGAGATGGCTAATAACGATTTTATTTCATGATCACATCATAAGTCACACTTTGGGACATCACATAAGGGAGCAAAATATTATTCTAGCACTATTTCTTGGCAAAATGTAGAAAACCAGTGACTCTCAAGCTCTCAGGATAAAAAGGCATCAGTATAATGTGCCACACTTAATTCAGATCCAATGAGGGAGACAAACTTCCACCTCCACTACAATTACAACCAACTAACCTTTCTCCAAATAGGTCCTTGGTGCCCATGGTGGATCCTCTTCAGCATAAGGATCACTGTATTCCACCACAGCTGCTTCTTCTTCATAATCCTCTGGAGGAGGGGGTGGCGGTGGAGATTCATCAAAAACAGCTTCATCTACTGGGGGTGGAGGGGGAGGTGTGTCTGAAACTAAAAAAAATAAAAATAATATTCAAGTTTCTTGACTTAGATGTTTACATAAATAGCAATATAATAAATAGTAGGACATATTTGTCCAGTTTATTTTACACATGAAACCCAAAGTGGAAATATGGAGATCTAGTAAATAATATTAGAGATTATGCTTCAAATGTTCCTTCATCCTTCAAAACTTTCATTGATAAAGATGAGCAAAACCACAGATACACAAACTTGTGGATAATAAAAAGTATAGATAATGAGGGCTACCTATATGCATAACATTTATATAGATTGTTTTGTAACAAAGAATTAGCAAGACTCCTTTGCTTCCCTTCTTCTAATGTATATAAGCTTTTTAATGGAGATAATCAAATAATTTTGGTATTCACCAGCTATTAAAATACAACGCCTAGCTAGTGATGTCAAAGATCATATACTATCCAGCACTGTAGGAAAAGGAGTGGCAGAACCTGGGGTGGAATTAAAAGAGGGATCATCTAGGTCACCAACTGGTTGTCCGTGAGAAAATTTTGGTGGTCCACAGAAAAATTATTTGCATTTTTTATACTGCACTAAATCAGGAGTCCTCAAACTGGGCCGGATATGTGCAATGAACGCTGCAGAGAGTCTCCCCCTTTGGGGTCTTTTTGTATGGGTTGGAAAGGGGCAGAAATTATGACTTGGAGTCTGCTTCAGCCTCCTAGTGTGGGGCTTTGGGCAAAGGCTGGAGCCGGAGGGCCTTGTTCCAGTGAGTTTGCATCATGGCCTGGAACCGCTGAGCCTCCAGGCACCAGTATCTGGCCTTGTACTCCTGCAGGTCTTCCCTCTGCTTGGAAAGCCTATGCTCATAGTCTTCAGTGAAGTGCTTCTGCTGAGCCTCCTTCTCAGTCAGATCCAATTTGAACTGAGGCAGTTGTTTTGCCAACTCTATCTCGTGGTGGCTGCTTAGCTCCAACAACTATTTCCTGTTGGGCCCTAAGGACCCTGGGTGGTCAGGCAAGGAGTGGCTGGGAGGGAAGGGGCGAGTAGAGGCTGGCAAGGCGCCCCTCGATGTGAGTAACATCGAGTTGGCCATGCCCACCCAGCCAGTCATTCAGCAGATCATATTAGTGGTCTGCGGGATTTCAAATTATGAATTTAGTGGTCCCTGAGGTCCGAAAGGTTGGTGACCCTTGTTAGGGATAACATTGTTTACCCTAACTGGTTTGGGTAAAAATAAT